GATCCCGTTGCCGGTCCTGGCCCGGTACGGGCGCGACACTGAGGGTTGCGATCCGTTGCTGGACACGAAAAAAGACAAAAAGGAAAAAAAAAAAAGAGATGAAGTTTGATAAGGTGGCCTGTGAATACTTTTATCCTAGTAGTTGTCTTCAGTGAGAAAATACTATAATTGAATAAAATTTACTTTGAGCAATTTAGGTTTCATGTCATTAAAATTAGATCATGAATGTGGGGAGTAAAAGAAAATCAAGTAAAATTTCAGAATCTACTGATTAGCCTTTCCAATCTCTATATAAATTATGACCTATAAACAAATGGAGTTTTGTCCAGGTAGCTAACTACCAAAAAAACATGTTTTCTGAAAAACATCAAACACTTATAGTATAAGGGAATGTCCTATTAGTTGGTCCATTTGCTACACATGAAGTGGTTTGCTATAAAAAATTAGTCTCTGATTAATTAAAGATTTGTAAACTCTGGGCAACCAGTAAAATTATTTTTTAAGGATTAAAATAATAAACCAATGGTGAGGATAAAATGGAAGAATAGATTGTATAGTTTTAAAGTTTACATTTAGTTTGCAAAGCAACTGAAAGTCTCAAAAGTGGCTGCTGGAAATTGAAAATACTACAGCCACTTTGAAAAACTGTTTTCAATTTCTTATCCCACTCCTAGGTATCTAGCTAAGTGAAATGAAAACCTATGTTCATACACAATCTGATTAAGAATATTATTTATGACAGCTGTACTTTCATCACTAAATCTGAAAACAACCCAAATGTCACCGACTAGGCAATGGGTCAACAGCCTCTGCTCTATCCCTACAACACCTGCAATCCTGATCAGCAAGAAAAAGCAAGGAACTGCTAATGAACATGACAACATGCGTGAATCTCAAATGCATTATGCCACAATGCCTAATCCAAATGTTTACACATATTGTATGATTTAATTTATGTGAATTTTTGCAAAAGCAAAATTATGGATGCAGAAAACAGATCATTGATTAACAGCAGCTCTGATGGCGATATGAACTGACTACAAAGAGATATGGGGATTTTCTGAGTGGTTGTGATAGAATCGCCTTTCCCTTGATTACGATACTAGATATAAGATTGAGCATGTTTGTCATAACACTCCAAAATAGTCACTAAAATGATTGTGTTGAATTAACTTATACCTTAATAAAAAATTGGGCAAAAAGAATACATGGAATATTTATATATGTGTGACTTACCAGATTTGAAATCATAAAACATTTTGCATTCTGGAACTTGCTTTCTTATCCAAATATATGTCTTGGAGATAAACTTATTTTAGTGCATGGATATTTAGCCCACATTTACTAACTCTTGTACAATATACAATCATTTATGTAACCATTCCAACATCAATAAATACTGTTTTTTTCTAGTGTGTGCATGTGATTTGCATTTAACTTATCAATGTGTGAGACTTCTCTGCATATTCTGTACATTATGCATTTGTCTACTATTCACATTATAATTTTTTTTCAAAATTAGCCATTTACAATTTATTTAACTTTTTTATGGTTTCTTTGAGAAGTAATAATTTTTTGGTATAGTAAAGTACATGTTTGTTTTCTATCTGATAATGTAGAATATAGTAAACTTTTTGGTTTCAGCACTATCGAATAATCAGTACCAATGCAAGACACCTTTTTAATTTCAGTTTACATGTCTTATAATCACAGTACTTTTTAAATTGACATTCCTAAAATTTTATAGGAAGAAAGAACTATGATTCAAGTTTGACAACTTAAAAGTTCTTGTTTCTTAATCTCAATGTTAATGTAGTACTCTGTTGTGTTCAACTTTTAAAAAAGTGTTTAGGGCAACAACACTACAGGGGTTAGGAGACAGAGTCTAATCTTTAATTTATGACTCCAATTCCACGACAGTAAGCTGCCTTCTGTTGAAAATATTTTCACAAAAACGTTATTTTCTTCTATTTTTTTTTTCTGATTTACTACTGTTTGTACATTGCCATTGAATGGTCACTTTAAACTTCAAATTGCTTGTCGCTTGTCAAGAAGCTTATATCAACTACAAAGGACATGAAGTGGTTTTACCAAGAAGGGCATGAAGAGTTCAATACTTGTCTACATTTCTGGAATTCTTTATATGGAATCCTAAAGCCACTTTTTCCTGTAATATGGTATTTTTTATTTATCTTTTTTAAAGCTAAATTTAGGTATAATTGAGACACATGTAAAAATTGCACATAATTAATATATACATCTTGATGAGTTTAGACATTTTCATTCACCTGTGATACCATCACCACAATGAAGGTACTGGGTGGATTCATCACCTCCACAACTTTGTGTTTTATGTTGTTGTTGTTCTTGTTGTTTTGGGGGTAAGAACACGGCACAGCACCATACTGCCGACTCTATGTGACATCTCGTGCAGTGATCTCTAGAACTTCCTTATCTTGTGTAACTGAAACTTTAAACCCATTGAACAATTCCCCATTTCCTCTTCTCACCAGACCCTGGAAATCACTATTTTATTTTCTGCTTCTATAAATTTGAGTATTTAGAGACTTCATGTCAGTGGAATTATGCAGTATTTGCCCTTCCGTGACTAGCTTATTCCCTTAGCATAATGTCCTCCAGGTTCATCCACGTGCAAATGGTGAGATTTCCCTCATTTTTCCCATAGCGTGTTGACATCACATTTTCTTTGTCCTTTCATCTTTCGCTGGTAACTTGTATTGTTTCCATATCTCGGCTATTGTGAATAATGCTGCAAGAACATGGGGCATAGATAATCTTTCAAACCCTGATTTGAGTTATTTTGGATAAATACATAGAGGTGGGATTTCTGACTCATATATTAGTTTTATTTTTAATTCTTTGAGAAATCTTCACACTGTTTTGCATAGTGGCTGCGCCGTTCCACATCCCCACTAACACTGTTGAAGTGTTCCAATTTCTCCACAAACTTGACAACACATGTCATCCTTTGTTTTCTCTTTTGTTGTTGTTTGTTTGTTTTTGATAATAGCCATCCTAACAGGCACGGTGATGTTTCATTGCATTTTCGATCCTGCATTTCCCTGATGATTAGTGATGTCACGCACTCTTTCATATACCTTATGGTAACTTACATGTCTTTAAAAAACATATTCAAGTCTTTGCACATTTTTAAATTTGGTTATGTGTTTGTTTGTTGGGTATTGAATTGTAGGAGATTCTTTTTTTTGCATAGTACTTTATTTTAATGGTTATGAATATTCATGAGATACAAAGCTGATTGTTACCACTCATGCCCAAGATGTGATGGCCAGATCCATACTGGCAGCATGCCCATTACTACAAACTGCTGTTATACCCTGTGTCCCCCACCCAATTGTCTCTGACCTCCCTCCCCATCCCCCTTTCTCCCTTTGTATTCCCAGGTATGTTCTCTCCCTTCCTTCTTTCTCTCTTAGCTCCCACATATGAGTGAGCACATGCAGTATTTATCCCTCAGTGCTTTGCTTATTTCACTCGACGTAAGTTTCTCCAAGCTCATCCATGTTGTTGCAAATGGGAGAATTTCATTCTTTTTTATGGCAGAGTAGTATTCCACAGTGCACATATACCACAGTTTCCTTATCCAATCGTCCATCAATGGACATTTAGGTTGGTTCCATATCTTGGCTATTGTAAACAGAGCTGTGATGAACATGGGAGTGCAGGTGTCCCTTCGACATGATGATTTCCATTCCTCTGGTTATATACCCAGAAGAGGGATTGCTGGATCATATGGAAGATCTGTCTGTAGTTGTTTGAGAAACCTCCATACTATTTTCAATAGTGGTTGTACTAAATTACAGTCCTACCAACAGTGCAGTAGTGTTCCTTCTCTCCACACCCTCGCCAGCATTGGTTATTCTCTTTTTGATTATAGCCAGTCTAATGAGGGTGAGGTGGTATCTCAGTGTGGTTTTAATTTGCATTTCCCTGATGACTCGTGATGTTGATTCTTATATATTTTGGATATCAACTCCTTACCAGATAAGTGATTTGCAAACATATCTTCCCATTTCACAGGTTACGTTTTCACTCTGTTGTTTCCTTTGCTGTGCAGTAGCTTTTTAGTTTGATGCAGCCCCACTTATTTTTGGCTTTGCCTCTGCTTTTGGTATCAAATCCAGGAAATCACTGCCATGACCAACGTCCAGAAGGTTTTCCCCTGTGTTTTCTTCTGGGAGTTTTACAGTTTCAGGTCTTATATTTCTTAGAGTAGACTTCCCTCTAACACACTTGTTTTCCTCCTTTAATCCCTTTTACCAAGTGTTTTTGTCTGTTTGTTTGTTCTCTTATGTTTTTGTATATGGCCCAAAATAAGTTAGTGGCAAGAAAGATCAGGGAAGCTGTGATATAGTATCTCAATTTTTATTTTTTAAACAGCTTTATTGTGATATAACTTACATACCACACAATTCACATGTTTAAAGTGTTCAGTTGAATGATTTTTACTATCTCCCAGGTATGTGTGAACATTGCCTCAGTCAATTTTCGATTAGTTTCATGACCTCACAAAGAAGCCCCTGTGTGTTTCAGCTCTCACTCCACCCACCAGCTTGCCCTCTCTCACCCACACTTCTGGCCATAAAACCCACTAAACTAACTTTTGCCTGTAGAGATGACCCTGTTTTGGCCATATTGTACAAATGAATAATATAACATATGGTCTTTGTGACTGGCTCTTTGTTCATGCAGCTTAACATTTGAAGGCTCACCTGTGTTGTAACAGCATTGGTGCTCCATTCTTTTTTATATCTGAGTGATATTTCATTTTATGGATGCACCACTTTTGTGTATGCATTTGTCAGAATGTGGACATCTGGAAAAGGAAACTCTGGGACAATGGAATGTTCTTATCTTGGGATGTAACAACCTCTCTAATTAAAAAGAGGCCAAGATGCTTATTTCCTGCTCAAGGATCACAGCAGGTAGAAGAATTAATTGACTCAAGCTTGCATACTTTCAGTCATAGGGTTTATTTTGGTTTGTGAAATTCAGAGTTTTAAGCCATAACAAAAGGAGAGAAAAAGAGGTTTCTTTTGTTCTTGAATCAAGCAGGATAAAGATGAATTTCTTGGTAATATTCTTTCTCCATTCTATGGCTTTTTAATAATATTTCTAAGTTACTGTTGTAAAAAAAAATAAAGAAAAATGCTAAATTTTTATTGTTAATAAAACTGTATAATTTTGCTATATAATTATAGGTATAACAATTAATTATTATAGTTATACTGTTGCCATCTGTGTCTGTGATCTGGGACATTTGTAACACCACGTCTCTTTTTCATGAATAATTTGTAAAAGCCACAATGATTGCAGTAGCCTCTCCACTTCCGCTCCTGCTGACACGAAGACTGATCCCAGGCTTTTAAAGTGTAACTCGTGTGCTTGTGATCTGAACTCTCCCATGACGCGTCCCTTTCACTCAGAACAAGAGAGAGACTGCCTCCAAGACCTCCAGGACCCTACATGAGTGTTACTTCTCTGACCTAATCACGAGGCAGCCCTCCTGCTAACTCTGCTCCCTGTCATTCATCAAACATCCCCGACTTATTTTTGCACTGGGTCATTCACGTGTTTACAAAGCTATCGCCCAGGTATATGCATGAATAATTCTGCCAGCTCTAATGCCTGTGTAGAAGAGAGTTGATTTACAACTGGAATGAAAAAGCTCTACTTTGTCCCTGGGAAATCCTGAATCTGGTTTTGACTTTTTGCCAGGATAAGGACAGTGATGGCCCTTATGAGATAAACCCTTATGATGGGCTGTTTAAAATTTAAAAAAAGAAAGCTTAGGCCTCGTGTCTCTCTGATCCCACATGCTTGCCTGCAGTCTCTCTCGCTGCACTCTACCTTTGGCATTTAAATAAAAGCCTTATGTGAGTTGGCCCTGTGAAGTCAGGTGACTCTGTGCAAATAGCTAACCCGGGTAAATATTTGCACCTCCTTCAATTCTTCGTTTACATATCCCACACTCAGTAGGGTCTACTGAAACAGCCATATTTAAGATTGCCATCCCGTTTCTCCCTCAGCATCAGCTCTCCTACTCATCCTTACTGCTCTAGTGTTTTCCATATCATTAATCATCCTACAATGCACTGTATAATTAACTTATAAAATGTTTATTATTAATGAACTGAAAGCCTAACCCACTATGTCAAATTCTTGAGGAAAGACTTTATGTAACCATAAAGTACTCTTGGCAGGAGAAAGCTGTGAAAAAAAAGAGAAAAAGAAAAAGAACATAAAGCAAGATACCAGGTTTATGTCTTATGAGTTGCAAGAATGCAGGGAAATGGCAAGCTCAATATTCCTTTAGGAGAAAATCAGTGAAGTTAGGTGGTGGCGGGGAGTTCAGGTGAAGGCACCCAGCATGACGTAAGATCATGACTGAAGGACACAAGAACATGACAGTGTACCAAGCACCAAAATCTATATCCAAGACATGGGATTTTAGTAAAGTTATCAAAGAGGAGGTAGATATTGGTTGGCACAGAAATAAAACTATTTTATATTGAGTTTAGGGGTTATAAATGTTTTCTCTGGTGACAGATAAGGAAACAGAGCCCGATTGACTTAACTGTCAATTAGAGTCAGAAGTGGAGGAATGGCAGGTAAGTAACAGAGTAAACTTTTGATGTCAGTCTTGGTTGAATTTTTGAAGTTTTCCATTTACTCCCAGTAATAGGCCTAACATGCCCAACATCATTATTTCTTTGCACATGTGAATTAGATCTTTGAACAATATATACGGATGCCTATTTTACCTCCTCTTATGATAATTGTCTTCCTGCCTTGGAAGGAGGGTGCATCAGCATTTTGTCTGGCATCTAGTAGGTCCTTAATGTACATTTTATTTCTCATCCGCAGTTGTATATCAGGGTATAGTAACATGATTGTGGCATTCTTTTTTTTAATTTTATCATTATTGTTGTTGTTACATTCTGGAGTCTGATTGCCTAAAATTCAACTGCATCTCCAAAATTTAATACAATTCTATACACACGTGGAATTATTTAATTTCTTAATGTCCCTTATCTCATTTCTAAAATAAGTATAACAAAAGCCATGGAGTCTCAGTGAGAAAGAAAGGTAAATGTGGGAAGACGATCTGTGTAAATCCTCCAATTAGAACCTCAAATGAGGGAGCACTAAGCAAGTATGATCGCCCATATATACTTTAAGAAAATACTTACAATCTCCTTAAAGTCATTTCATATTACGAAAATGCTGCTTAATAAATCTCTGGCTAAAATTAGTTAGCATTAAATATTTCTAAACTAATATAAAATAAAATAACATCAAATATATTATCTTCGTGTTTGTTTTAGCATATAATATTGACAAATAGGAGTCATGGTGGTAAAATATGGACATAATAGCTTTCTCATACCGAAGTATTGCTAAAAAGAAAAAACTGTATCATGAATTACATCATCTGGTCAATAACTGGATTCCTTCAATTCACCTTTAAGTGTATGACTGGGCACTGTCACAACTGCTGTCTTCTGATGGAGATCTGTATAAAGGAAACAGCATTCGGTTCAGGCTTGTGAAACACTGTAATCTTGAGCAACATGAAGAAAATACAAAAGCTGGATTTGTGACAATTATTCCATTAATATGTACCAGTGTCCACTTTGTTTTCCATATCCCTCTCAGAGACCATATAGTCTAGTGTTTTGTCTCTTTCTAATGTTGGTCTAACTCTTAAAGATGTGAAGGATTTTTTTTTCGTTTCACACTAAAACTCTATTGATTGTTATCCTCTATCTTGTCTACATAGAAGACAGGTTGAGATATGAATATATCTATGATCGTGCTTCTCCAAAGTTAAAAAGATAGCTTACAGAAACAGCTTAATTTTAAATTATTATCTTTTCAATTACATCTAGCACATAAATATGTAAATAGCTAATTATCTGGACTATAAAGTCACTTTCATTAATGAGGCCCTAAGTGAGTCCTGTAGGTTTTCCAGGTACATTTAGCTACATTTTGTGTATTTATACAGCCTCCCCTTTGTCTTTGGAATATTTGTAAACACATACAGCCCCTGCTGAAGAGGAGGGTCATGGTGTTAAGTTCCTACTACGTGGCTTCATCTCCTTGGCCACAGATGAAGAGTTTAGATTTGGACACCTGTTGGGCTGGGCCACAGACTCTTCCAACCCTATCTGTGCAGACTGGGTCACAGACCTCTCATAGGCAGGTCGTGAGCTGGGTAATTGGAAAAAGATCCTGGGAGGGTTTGGCAAGGTTGACATGCTCTATTCAGACACAAGCTCAGCCCCCAGTGGATCAGCGCTCTTGTCTTCTATACTAGAGTCAGATAACTGAGGAACACATGGGCCCACGTGCGCAGTCATACCACTCTACATAACATGTTCACAGCAGACATGCTGAGTCGTGCTCAGCTGGAGATGAGGTGAGGGAGCCTGACCAGTCTGTCTCCGTTTTCCTCTCAACTCCTAACCCAGGATCACAGTCCACACAGAAGACTGGCTGAACTTAGGTGCCCTGCACAGCTACTTCCTTCTGTCTCCAGAGAACATGAACTAAGAGACATCTGCTGTAGATAGATTACTGGTGTTTTGTTTGAAAATGAATATAGAAAGAGTTGAGATAGATATATTGGGCCAAGTGCAAGCACAGCATTAGATTTAGAGAGAATGGACAAGACGAGAAGAGACACTGAATCATAGAGCCAGACGGACAGAATGACCTAGTTCCTGACCATCCAGTTCATTACCCACTTTTGTGCTTCAGCTGTTTCATTTCTTAACCTTGAAGCCCTGAAATCACTTATTGTTTCTATAAAACAGGCTGTCACGACCAGATTTTGTCATTTTTAACCAAGGATCCACTACCATAAAATGTCTTCCAAAAGTCAGATTTCCTTCTAGCAACAATTCTGAATTTTCCAAGATGTCTTAAGAGCACAGGAAGACTTATGCCAGCTATTGATCAAGGTAATTTATAACAGTTTGATGATTATGTAAATGTCTATATAAATCATCCAGAATACTCCTGATACAGGAGGTTCTGATTTCCCTGGGCTCAGGTTTCAGGACACGCCTTTGGGTTTCCAGCCACTCCCTGAGGTCTCAGGCCCCCTCCTCTGGGCTCTGCCAAGGAGGAAGGTGACTGTTGCCAATTAGACCTATTTTTCACACCAACATGAGGAAAATGAGACCACAAGGGGCTGGCTTATGCAAATCCAGTGGCTGGGCATGCTCAATAAAGAGCACAGAACATTCTTGAATATGCCTGGTGCATGTATTAGGGTCTGACCAATGAACCTGCTCCAGGAAAAGACCTACTGAGTATGTGCAAGACTAAATGTTACCTAACTGGGAACCACCCCTTAATTGAATATTCATTAGCTAGAGAAACTATAAAAGCTGAATCCCAAAAAAAGGCAGGGTTGCTCACTTTCTTAGAGGCAACCCACATGTCACTGGCTGAGGTGTGCCTGCTTTGCTTTCATATCCAACTTACTTTCAGAGAGCAGGTGCTCATTTTTTTGAGGCAGCCTGAACTTTGTACTGAACTTGAAGCATGTTTTTCTTGCTTTTGTGTTAGACTTGATGTTTGTACTGAATTTACCTTTATGTTAAACTTGGTGTGGCCATGCTCAGGCTTTGGAGATTTGCTGCGCTCTCTGTGGAGCCTGTATTTCTTATCTATTATATTAAACTTGCTCTTACTTTCTACCATGACTCTGCCCTTGAATTCTTTCCTGTGGCAGAGTCAAGAACCAGAGGATAGGGTGGGTTAAGGCTGACTATCAGGCCGCCCCAGACCCTAACTCCAGCATCACTACCATGAATTTATCTTGCTGCTGCTAACTTTTTAATAAATAAAATGAACTAACTTGAGAAACAGCAGTGCTGATGGAAATTCTATATTAATATTTTATATCCATCAGCATAAGCAAGAAACAAAGAACCATTTTCCTTTAGCATAGAAGACCCACTTATTTATTTTTACCTCTGTATTCTCAGGTTCTTAAATATTTACTGAGCAAATTGCAGCCTGTATTGGTGCTACAGTAAAGAAAAAAGATGTGCCTGAGCAATAATTATAATTTTAGAAATACATCAGCAATATTAATTATGTGCAAAATGCAGAATATTCTATATGAGTTTTCTCCCTCATTTTGTGCCTTCTTCTGTTTTTCTTGCCTTCTACAGATTCTAGTCACAAAATATGCTTCCCTGGCTTTCTCTGTTGATCTACTTGGCACGACTGACTGTCAATGCGAGAAGAATGGGGTTGCTTGGGAAGCTGACAGAACCTCCTAAAACAATTATAGCCAAAGTCGCTTTCCAGTTGAAAGGCACTGAGAATTTGCTGAGGAGCTGCAATTTTTCTTGGTGCTATAAAAACATGAAGGATACCTACCTGCTAGAAATATGAAGAAACTTTGGTATATATTTGAGTATACTTATTGAATATTTGTAAACATTAACCCAATTTATCCAAGAATCCCAGCCTGTAATATTCTGAATTGCATTTAGATTTTTCCCATAAAGTATTTAAATATTAAATGTAAAAAACAAGCTCACTTACTCACTGCTTACTGTTCCCACTCTACTCCAAATTCCCTTCATTTTATTCCATTTAAGAGCAATGATGGCAGTTAAAATGAGGAAAGGTAGAAAAATGTAGAAACTGATCAAAAGGCCATTTTTTTGAGGAGCAGCTTGGTGTTTTACAAGCAAGGATGGACTTCTATCTGAAACATAAGAATGCCTTTTAACCTTTTCAAAAATGGTATTTGAATCAAACTAGTAATTTGAATTACAAAAATTTGGAATTTACATGATACAGATAATGAATAAGTTTGCATTTAAAAGTGTTTTACAAACTTCTGTGACGGTGCCCCAGAGTGCATTATATATTTATGTCAATTTAATACATATCATTTTCAATATACAATGTTATTGACATCAATTTATTTATAATCTCTTCATGTATATTTAATCTTTACTTATGTAATATACTCTGTTTATTCTATTATATTCCCTTCTGTGAAGTTCTACTTAAAACACATTAAATTAATATTATTACCTAAAAATAGAATATTCAATTTAAAATAGAGTAAAATAAATACAAATGTTCTAAAAATTATTTTATGAAAAATTATTGACAAAAAGGTTGATGATAGTAAACTAGGTTAAATTTCCATATTTTCTATATAAAGCGATATTTTTCTAATTTTGGCTATACAAGTATTAATTTGGAAATGTAGATATTCCTCTAAGATGTTGTAAAGACATATACAGAAGTACTTCAAAAAGTTCGTGGAAAAATTCCTAGTACCTTTCAATTCTATTTTCCACAAACTTATGAAGTACTCTCCTATATAACTCTTAGGAGAATTAGAGAGAAAGATAAAATCTATGGAAACATGGTTCAATTAAACAGAAGAAACTAACCAGACAACTAAAACATAAATATAATAAATTAAGTGAACAGAATTATGATCAAAATGACTAGTATTCCATTAAATGTAAATAAATGTAAAAAACAAGGAATTTGTAACTTTAACAAATACACACAAACAATTCAATTATATGTTCATTAGAAGCATGTTACCTAAAGGAAAGTGATTCTGGATGTTATATGTATTATAAGAAAAAGAAAGGCAAATATATGCAAAAATATCTGAATTAGGCAAATATGCAGCATCTTCTGCTGTGGTAGAGCTCAGTGCTTTTAAATCCCTCCTTCCCGCCTTGTCCAACAGAAAAGACTAGCTTGACCATATTATCAGAAACCTTCTCATGTGCTTAATTACTGATTAAAAGTAAAAGGCTGATTAAAGTAATTGGACCTAACTATTTAATTGTATTAATTGGGAGATATCCATTACTCTAAGTTATAAGTTAGCACTTTCACTTTTGGCCATGATAAAAATTTTGTATTAAATGGTTCCAAACTAGCTCTCTTATAATGAAAATATAATATGCGGGGGGTCGGGGGGAGGGATGAAAGAAATAGTTTCTGGAAGTCAACAGGAAATGCAAAACTATAATACTTGAAGGAAGGAAAACATGTGATGTTGATTTTTTTGATGATCCAATTCTACCTATGGACAGTTTGATGATATCAGCACAGGCCAAGGGCAGGGTTTCCACTGAGTTACGGAGGCAAAGAACAGAGTTCCAGGCAGCAGACTAGGCTGAAATCTGCAGGATACAGCGTTGGAAAGAAAGTTGCTTGATGGATTAGGTACCCCAGAAGTGTGTGTGGGAGGCCTCTCGGGGTCCTTGGGACAGAGATATGGAGTATATATACATATGAGAAAACCTGAAACTTGGCAGTTCTCACTGGGTTGAGCGTGAAATGGAGATACTTGAGTTTGAGCAGCGCTGGCAAAAGGGCACCACGAAGATCCCTTTGTTTCTATATCACGATTAACACGTCTGTATTTTTTAAATTACTATTATAATTATTCTAGTGGATGTGAAGAGATATCTCACTGTAGTTTTAATTTGCATTTTGCCAGGATGTTGAACACGTTTTCATGGGTTAGTATACAAATCCTCTATGGAGACATGTTTATTTAAATCTCTTTCCGTTTTTAATTGGGTTATTTGTCCTTTTATTATTGACTTGTATTTGTTCTTTATGACTTCTGGATACACGCCCCATATAAGTTACAAGTTTGTCTTTCACTCTCTTGGTTGTATCTTTTGCATTACAAAAGTTGTTACTTTTTATGAAACTCAATTAATCTGTCATTTCTTTTTTTCCTTGTGCTTTGGTATCTTTTATAACATAGCCTATGCAAAGACCACAAAGATTTACTTATATGTGTTCTTCTAAGCGTTTATAAGCGTAGCTCTTTGCATTTAGATCTGTGACCCATTTTCAGCTAATTTTTTTGAAAGTTGTGATGTAGCAGTCAAACCTCTTTCTTTTGCATGTGGGTAATCATTTGTTTCAACACCATTTGTTGAAAGACCATTCTTTCCCCGCATGGAATTACCTTGTCACCCTTGTGAAAATCAATTTACTCTTAAGTATGAGGCTTTATTACTGGACTCTGTTCTACTCCATTGAACTATGTCTATTCTTAGGACAGTACTATGCTGTATCCATTTTTTTTTTTTTTTTTTTTTGCTTTAATAAGTTTTGAAATTAAGTGTTTTTCCAGTTTCAAGTTTTCTTGAAAACTAGATTATTTAGATTATTTTAACTATCCTCTGTCCCTTGCATTACCATATGACTCCTTAGGATCAGCTTGACAATCTCTGCAAAAAAGAAAAAAACAGTCAGCTGGAATTTGCTAAGGTTTGTGTTGAATCTGCAGATCAATTCAGGGAATATTTCTACATTAACAATGGCAAGTTTTCCAGTGCATGAGCGGGGGATATCTTTGCATATATAGAGATATTTAGTTTCTTTCAATAATGCATTTTTAGTTTTCAGTGTATGTTTTACATTTTTTATACGATTATTTCAAAACATTGTATTATTTTCGTGATATCATAAACACATTTTTTTACTTTAATTTTTATCAAGATAAAATACAACACACACAATTTAACATATTAAACATTTTTAAGTATACAGCAAGTGCCATTAAGTGCATTCACATTTTTGTGCAACCATCACTATTACCTTCAACTTCAGAACTTTCTCACCCAGCCAAGCTGAAACTCTCTGCTCGTGTAATATCAAGGTAGCATTCCCCTGTACCTCCAGCCCCTGGGAACCAACATTCTACTTTGATTCTATGCATTTGACTACTCTAAGCAACTCATATAAGCAGAATCATGCAATGTTTGTCCTGTTCTGACTTGTTTATTTCACTTAGCATAAGGTCTTCAATTTGTTTCCATATTGTATCATGTTTCAGAACTGCATTCATATGTAAGACTGAATAATGTTCCATGGTATGTATACACCACATTTTGTTCATCCATTTATATGTCAATGGACATTTTACATATTTTGGATATTGTGAATAATGCTGCTATGATCATGGGTATATGAATACCTGTTTTAGTTCCTGCTTTTAATTTCTTTGGATATATATCCAGATGTGAAATTGCTGGATGATATGGTAATTCTATGTTTAATTTTTAAAGGAATCAGTCAACATGCTCTTTTCCATAAAGTCTGTGTCATTTTACATTTCCACCAACAATGCATGAGGGCTCCAATATTTCCATATCATGGTTAATGCTTGATATATATTCTAAATTTTTATTTAAAGTAGCCATCTTAATTGGTATCTCATTGTAGTTTTGACTTACATTTTCCTAAAGATTAGTGATATTGAATATCTACTAAGGTGCTTATTGGCAGTCTCTAATCCTCTTTGTATATATGACTATTCAAGTCCTTTGCCTATTCTTAATTGTTTTTCATTGTTGTTGTTCTTGAGTTGTAGCAGTTCTTTACGTATTCTGGGTGTTAATCCTTTATCAGATACATGATTTGCAAATATTCTATCTGATTCCATGAATTGCATTTTCACTCTGTTAATCATCTCCTTTGAGGCACAACAGTTTTTAGTTATGATGAATTTCAGTTTATCCAGTTTTTCTTTTGTTGACTGTGCTTTTGTTGTCATACCAAAAAAATCATTGCCAAGTGCAATATTGTGGCAATCTCCCCTTATGTTTCCTTCTAAGAGTTTATAGTTTTAGCTCTCGCACTTAGGTCATGGATTCATTTTGCATTGTTTTGTATATGCTATCAGTATGGGTCCAAACTTATTCTTTTGAATGTGAACATCTAGTTATCCCAACACCATTTGTTGAGAAAACTGACCTTGGCCTTTTTCAATGGTATAGGCACTTTTGTTGCAAGTCATTAGGCCATAGATGCAAGGATTTATTTCTGTGCTTCCTTTTTCATTCCACTGGAAAACAGTTTTCTTATCTTGTTGTCCAATGTAATGTAATGTGTCACCTATCAAGAAGGTACCACAGAGTCCTGAAGACAACTTGTCTTTTTTTTTTTTTTTTTTTTCTTTTTGTCTTTTTTCATGACCGGCAATGGATCGCAACCCTCAGTGTTGCACCCGTACCGAACCAGGACCGGCAACGGGATCGCAACCCTCGGTGCTGCGCCCGCACCTCGCTCAGCCAGTGAGCGGCCGGTCTGTATGTGGGATCTGAACCCTCGGCGGGAGTGCCGCCGCATTCCCAAGCAGCGCACTGTAGCAGTGCACCACCGGGCCGGCCCAACAACTTGTCTTTTTATTGTAGCTTTTGTTGAACATATTTGAGAATTCAGAAATTTTCTTTTACTGCCCATAATGATTAGGAGAAGAATATTGGTGGAGGAAGCCATTATACAATTATTTATCAGACAAATGCAAAGAAACAAAGAGCAGCAATCTAGCCTGTAATGATTATTGTCTTAGTCTGTTCAAGCTGCTTTAACAAAAATACCGTAGATTGGGTGGTTTAAAAACAATAGAAGTGAATTTCTCACAGTTCTGGAGGATGGGAAATCTAAGATCAAAGCACTGGCAAATTCATTCTCTGGTCAGTGCCTGCTCTTTGTTTCATGTAGAGCAGTCTTCTCACTATATAACTCCACATGGCAGAAGGGACTAGGGTTCTCTCTGGTGTCTCTTTTATAAGGATATTAAAATTAATCATTAGGACTGTGCCCTCATGACCTAATCACCTCCCAAAGATCCCACGTTCAATACCATCACTTTGGGGATTAGGTTTTAACATATACATTTTTTAATTGAATATGCATATT